GTGGAGGAGTTGAACAGCAAGTCAATTCCCATATTATCATGGGAAGGAGCTATCTTGTGACTTGTATTGTTGCTCTCACTGTTTGGACACTAAGTTTTAATACTTTAGTATAACTAGAGGGAAGAAAAGGATGAGGGGCAAGGACTCTAATCTCAGCCTGCAAAATCAACCAGAATAAGAAACATTATAGGCAATCCTTAACTTACAACAGATCATTGAGTGACTACTCAATGTTACAATGGCACTGGAAAAAGTGACATATGACCATTTTTCACAGTTACGACCTTTGCAGCATCCCCATGATCATGTGATCAACATTCAGATGCTTGATATCTGGTTGATATTTATGAACACTGCTGTGCTCTAAGGTCATGAGATCTCCTTTTGTGACCTTCTGACAAACAAAGTCAATGAGGAAGCCGGATTCATTTAACAATTGGGTTCACCTGCAGTGATTCACTTGACAACTGTGGCAAGAAAGGTTGTAAAATCAGAAAAAACTCACTTAACAAATGTCTCACTTAACAACAGAAATGTTGGGCTCAATTGTGCTCATAAGTTGAGAATCACTAGTACTGTGAGAACTAGTAAACACTGTTCTGAGCTGTCCCCCATTCAAAGCATATCTCGGCCTCAAGTTCAAACCCTTTCTCTGTGTATGGAGATGAGATTCACCTATCATGAGATTCACCTATCAAACATATGGATATTTGATAAAGGAAAGGCATTTCCACTTGGGGTACTGGAAATGTGCTATACCATGGGTCCCCAACCCCCGGTCCGTGGACCTGTACCGGTCCGCGGCATGCCAGCAACCAGTCCGCCCAAAGAAACAAAGCCCCATCCACGAGATGCAGGCAGCAAACAAAACTATGCCCCTCCGGTCCGTGGAAAAACCTCTCTCCACGGAACTGGTCCCTGGTGCCCAGAATGTTGGAGACCTCTGTGCTATATTGTCATCATGAAGTAATATTAATAATCAATGGGATATGTAACAAAATACCACATCACAGATGCTTATGTTTGGCAACTCCTTCTGGATTTCAAATTGTACCATTCCCTTTCCACTAGTCAATAAACACTCTTGGGATGTTTTGGGGATTCCCCATCCTTAAACTGTTTTTATTTTTTTAAATTTCTCCAAAACTTGGTGTTCTGTTGAGTATGCTGATCTCCCTCCATAACCAATGACATTTTGATTAGATAAAGAATATTGCTTGAAAAATTAAAGGATGGATAGATAGATATGCTATGTGCTGTAATATGGTATGATATATCCAGAATATATTGTGAAACAACAATTATTATTTAAACTTACAAGGCATTAAAG